TCTTTTTAAGGGCAGAAGAGGGCTTTAAGCACCTGAAGAGGAAGGAAGCTTTTTCGATTGCAAATCCGGAAAAAGCCTAGCATCGAATGAAACAACTTTCTGACAAAGACAGAACTAAGAGAGAGTTAAACATTGGTGAGCCGAGATAGGGCATCTGACGAAGAGTAGTCGAGCTGAGGACAGCTCTTCTTAGAAAGTAGGGACCGGGTGAAAGTCTATCTTTGAGAATAGCAAATTTCCATCATTCAAAGTAGAAACTCAGAGGCATGCCTCAGCCAAGTCCCGATACGCTCGGCTCGTGCTCGGGCTCGTGATTTCACAAGCCCGAGCAATCACGAGCGAGCCGCCCACAAGCCTCTTTTCCACGAGCCGAGCCGGCTCGGTCCAATTGACATCCCTACTTACGGGATTCCAGAGTTCAATGTACATGGATGACGACCTGTGGGGTTATTTTGTTGTATGTTGGGGATCATGTGTTGTATATCTTTTGACATGGCATGTAGACTTGTTTATAATCTCAGAATATATATGTTTGATTATGGCGACATGATTTTGGTTTAGAAACATAGCTTATGTCGTTTTATTAGGTGAAAAAGAAGTGAGAAATTACATGTCTAGGTCGAGTCATCAATTGTATTTCCACACAGGTTAATAGATAGTTATATATATGAAAGGGGGTGTAACAGAGAGTTGGGGATTTCTGGGTCTACCATGCGACCACATGGAAAACAACCATGTGGCCGCATGGTTATAAAATTTGACATGTTTTAATTTTTTCGCGAATTTTCTTATTTTGTTAGAATTTGATATCAATTAGATTTTTTTCCATATTTTGATGATTTTGCACGATTTTAGCTAGGTTTTTTTAGCTTTAGTATAAATACTCTTTCCATTACATTGTGTAGGGACTTTTGGCAATTATTATTAAATTCAAGAAAGGCTTTTGCTTTCTTCAAATTTGTTCTTCTTTGAATAACAATTTAGAACTTATCAAGGTCGTCAGTTCTTCAATTTGTAAGCAAGGGATCCATTGCATCATCGTTATCTTTGGGTTCTTTGTTTCATCTTGTTAGGTTCATTCCAAACTGGTTATCAACTGACATTCTTGGGTTCCACACAAATCTGATTGTGGGTTTCATAATCTAAGTTGCTATGGGATTCGCATAAGTCGATTTTTCAACAACACTCCAAGTTTGATATTCGGTCAACAAAGGCACATCTTCTAATCCCTAAACTCATATTAGTGTTAGAAGTCTTTTTGTATTGTCACTGTTCTCATGTCCTCACTGCCAAGCGATAGGTGGCACACTGGACAGGTTTTTGTTGTTGACCCACCGGCACTTAAATCAGTAACTAATTATGAAAGAAAAGTAGAAATAAGGGAAGTAAGTTGCCGAATGAGGATTAATGTATGTTTTCCTTCACCTTAGTTTTTTCCCTCCATATAAAGCTGATATGGGGAATCATATTCGTTAAAAAAACATGATTCTCTCGAAGATTAAGGTAGTTATTCATACTCATTTTTAACCATACATTTTTTCAATAAAATAATTTTACACGTCATATCTTTTTTCTACTTTTAGTCATACATTCTTCAAAAATATCATTTTTCACAAAATTTATTCCCAAAAAATTTACATCAAACATACCCTAGGTTACTTAAATCACTCGTGTGGTGCAAATATGTTGAATATTTTTCCTGATATTTAATTAAAAGTTGAATCTGAAAGTGGAAATGGGTCATAAACGAATGGACCCCATTTTTTCAATAAAATGCATTTTGATGAAAAATGTGTTGTTAAAAAATATAAAAAGATTTTGAATTTGCGTATAATAATATTTTATTGAAAATTGTGTGATTGATAATAAGTAAAAGAAAAATGTATTTTGAAATAATGGAGAGCAAACAAGGCATAATATAATTTAGATATATATACAATTGACATATATTATATCCTAGCCCTACCCAACCTGTAGAAAAAATTCTAGAAATTGAAAAAAAAAAAAATTGGAGATTATATCCCCACCCACGGAAGCACCCACCCCACCCTACCCCGCCCCACCCCAAAAATCTCCAGAAACTTAAAAATGTTTTCCGAATATTACCCATGGAACCACCCAACCTTGCCACATATTTATTGTTTGTGGTCAGATTTGTGACCAAATTTATCGTCAGTGTAGTTTACTATGACTATCTAATTGACACTGTATGTAATCAAGTCACTAACATGTGTGTATTTGTGACTAGCTGTAATCAAATTTGTGTTCAGTGTGACTAAATAAGATCAAATTTGTCTCTAACTTTAACCAAATTTGTTTTCGGTGTAACTATCTGTGATGAAATCAATCTTAACAGTGACAGTATGTAACCAAGTCACAACCGATTACAACTAAACACAGAATGGGTCAAAACCAATCACAATTAACACAGAATTAGTTACAAACAGCACAATAAACACTTGGTCACACTTGATTGCCATCGCCACCGCCGCCACCACTCCCAACACCATCAAGAACCAAATGCACAATGACTTACCACGACCACATCCACTACCAACAATAGAACTATCATCGTCTACACCACCAACACATATAGATTAGAAAATCACTGTATTAGAAAATCACCAACGAACATCCCCAAAATCTGGCTAAACGATAGATCTGATGAAAAAACCACCACAAACAAACTACCTACGTCAAATCAGATCACAAAAACCACCAACAAACTTTGTCATTAAATAATAACAGAGTAATGAAATGCATTCAAACTACCAAAAAATTTCGCATCATTAATATTTGTAAGTAGCATCATCGGCGTCAGTAGCCGTGGGCAACATTATCGACGTCATCGCTATGGCAAAAATATTTGTAAGCAGCATCATCGATTTCACCTATACTGTAGCAGCATCATCAACACGAGTAACAATGCGACTGTTTGAATGCTACGAAGTGAGCAATGACGAGTCCGACAACTCCACCAATGCGAGGAAAAGCTTTCTCGCGTCCAGCGATTTTGGATATGATAGGAAGAGTGAGAATTTTAAGGTTTGAAAATGAAATTGAGTGCTTGTTTGGTAGGGATTTTAATAATTGATTTTTTATCGTTAGAGATAAAGTGGGTTCTATCTGTGAGAAAAAAATTCAAAAATGACAGCTGTAATAGTAAAATAACGGTCAAAAAATTGATTTTAATTGACTTTTTAGCTGTACTAAACAAGCTCTGATTTTGGGAAAAATAGGGTTCAGATAGAGGTGGGGGTGGAGGATGGGGTAGGGTGAATATGTAGATTATGCGTAATTAAGTTTTTATTAATTATAATTATTAAAACTTAATTATCACTTGATTTGTGAAATGAAATTTAATATCCTTATTTTATTGAAAGTTAGTTTTTTAAATGTAGGTTTCTAGGTAATTTTCCCCAAGTATTTTCCAAGTCCATTATATGGCACGCACCTAACGGGCCAGCCCACAAGATATCTTAATTTCCATACAAAATGATTCCTGGGTTTTTCTCTTAACTCAATAAGTCAATCATGCCAACTATTATTAGAGCAAGTTCAACTAGATCAGCTTCAACTAGAGGGGGAAGCTGCCAAATCTCCTGGTGTTTTAAGTCCATTACCTGTCCCAAGTTACTCGATGCCATTATATAGTTTGGGATGCCATTTTATAATTTGGGTTTCTTGCATTTACAGTTGTTTTTTATGTAACGTATAATCTCGTTCAACTTCGTATTCACAATCACCAGTATCTAGCATTCCTAGAGACACAAGGTTCCTCGTCAACCCTGAGATGTACTGACTTGCAGGAAAACCATATACGAGCCATCCCACGTTTTGAGTTTAATTGAGCTAGCCTTCGATTTTACAAAAACCATTGTTCTCCATTAGGACTGTACCAGTGTGCACCTCTTCATACTCGAATAGACTGGCCCTGTTGAGTGTCATGTGGAAGGTATATATTCAGTATCCATTATCCATTCCTCATGAGTCTGTCCGTGGCTAGTAACAGTTATGCATTGCAAATTGATGCATCTCCAGTGTTGTTACCTCTTGGTGCTCTGTGTTTTTTCCTCCTTTTGAGGGCAGAAACCTGTGACGTGTTCCTCAATATGGCACAATGAATACAGGTCTTATCCCTTCTTGATTTAGACCTAGACTTTCGTCCCCTCATTCTCCATCTACCCAACATTTCCCTAAGCATCGCAAACCTCCCCAATTCCTCCTCTCTGAATATCGATTCAAGATCCTCAGGTTGCATAGTCTCCATGATGTCCTAAGCTGACAAGAATTCCCTCCACATCTTTAAAAGATTATGCAAGGGAATCTAACAATATGATGGCCTGAATTTGATCATCATTCTTCTCACTGATGTTTAAGCAGGCCATAATTCGAAACAAAAGAAAGCCTTCATCTTCGTCCTTCCCATATCAAAGTCTCTCGTTTCATAAAATTTTCAACATCAAACTTGGTTAACCCCAACAAAATTTCTTGAATCTTGAACACAACACTGGAAATTCTAGTTCTAACACCAATCTGTCTAGGTATCTTACCAAGATCCCCCAATAGAAGGTAAAGAACAAAAAGAAATGCAGATTAAGGACGCAAGACACTGCAAATTATGAATACAAGACATTCTCGCTGAACTAGACAAATCCCTCGAAAAACTAGTAGAAAAAAAGAATTTCCTAGAAAAACTTTCTTGCTACTGTGCCCCTCATTCTCTGAGGCCAAAACGAAAAGTGAGAAATGCAAAAAAATTTCAGCCTAAAACTGCTTGCTCATGGTGGCTGCAAACTGGTTACTAGCCAAACAGATGAAACTAACTACTACGGATTACCAATCCGACTGAATTAAACGACAATTAACCAACTAAACCATAGATGCTGCCCCTTAAATCTAAACAAGAGCACAGTAGACACCACATCAAAAGAGGGAGAGAGATGCTGAGCAGATGTCCAAAATAGGTTTTAAGCAAAATATATGGAGAAGAGGCCGGATTCCCAACAAGATAGAAAGCCTATCCTGGTTGCAAAATTGTCTAATTACATTGGATAGGATGAATTGAACCAAATAACAAAAAGGAAATCATGTAACTCTCCTAAGTTTGTCAAGAGCAAGATTTAATTTGTTTAAAATATTTTCAAGGCTATTATTTTTCTTTCGTGATGCTAACTAGAGACTGCAAAAGAGGAACAAATACAACAGACGAAAGAGAAGAATACAGATGTAGATTCAACATTGAAATAAAAGTAGTATGATTCATTCTTCTAACCTATGCCAGTAAAGGTTCCAGTGAAGGATTTAAAGCTGGTGCATGGAGCTCCATGCTGAATGTCACCAGCACCCCAACAAGTGCACAAATGGCTGGAACAAGACCTAATCCAAATCTTGTCACAGAAAAACAAAAATATAATGGACTGCAGTACTGCAGCCCTGGAGTAGAACCTGCATAATGATAACACCATTAAACCAAATATGTCACGTATGATTTACAATTGACCAATTGTAGATGCTTACTCTGGTAAGACTCGAGAGCACACAATGCCAACCCACATGATATTTTGTCGAGAAAGCTCAACGACCCATAAACGAAGGCACAGCCATTGAGATCTCTACCAACTAGAAAACTCTGCATGCTTACTGCAGTCACCTGTAACTCCATAAAAAATGTGCAGTAAGGAATAAGAAAAGCAGTAAGTATAATTCTTTTACCAAATATTCATCTTTTATGTTATATTACCACTCGTACTCGTTAGCATTACTAAAGTAGTATCTCTGTGTGAATGTGAGAGGTACGTTCTAGTTTGGAAGTTGTTCTACTCTGGTGTGAGGCTCTACTGTGTAGGGTATGCCTGATCATTAGTTCATTTGCACTTAGAAAATGTGACGATATTCCGAAAAATGAGGCAAACAGTAAATTCTGACATAAATATGAATCAAAAGAGGGAGTCTACAAGTGTTTTACATATATATTCTAAGATGGGTTAAACAATGATGTCACTCACTTAACTTAAATAGAAATTTCCCGTTAGTCACCTAATGTTTCTCGTGTTCCAAAGTGATGGATGACGTTCGTTTTCTGTTTTTAATTTTTGCCATTCAGTTAAAATTCTCAAGTTATTGCGAAGGAAATGAAAGACCACGGCGATCAGGGTAAGCCTCAAAGGTCAACAAAAATGGCTACTGGATCAATTCTTGCCTTTGACGTACCATTCACGTTGTAATACTAAACAAGGGAACAATAAAAGGAAAGAAAATTTTGTTCATACCATCATCAATGAATTTGCTGCTCCAATCACTACCGACAAAGCATATACTATAGAATTCATGCTTCTTGGCAGGAAGAATATTCCCAAACCACAAATTATCCATAGAAGTCCTCCAACAGAATAGAAAGCCTTTAACCGTCGACCGGTCCACCCAATCTCCTATATGAAACCAGGATTAATTAAAGATGCCTATAGAAGGGAAAAAGAAACAAGTGTACAAAGATATGAAAGAATATTTTTAGACAGCAATAAACCTGTAGGAAGATCGATACAATGAAGCTGCAGATATAGATGATTGCAGGAACCTATGCACGCATATTAAACATGAGTATAAGAAAAGGAATTTTGTCCATATAACTTTGTATAGGTATGGAGCTAATTGAATAATACCAAAGCTTTTGATGACTGTGCCATTTGCAGATCATTGATGACGTAGAAAGCAAGAAATGTCTGAGCCAACATATTCGAGCAAATGAACAATTAAAAAAATAACCATTTCAATTTAATCGGATCCTCTCTTTCTAAGCAACACTATGGAAATGAATATTTGAAAGAGCTAGTACGATTTATGAACGGACCTGTGAAACATTTGTCACTAGTCTAGTGAGTACATAAACAAGTGCAACTTGGTGGTACAGAATTTTCTTAAACCAGTAAGCCCATGAAATTCTAGCATAACTATTTGCATGAGCTTCTTTCTTCAATCTGCAATGGATATAACCTATAAGGATTTATAATATCTAAATTTGGTAAAAGAAAGAGGAAAGAGGCAGCAATTCAATCGAGCACAGGTCAAATTTCTTGAGAGTATCGAATATCTTAACAGAGGCATTAAAATAAAAAATCACGTTTCTATTTGAATTTTTAGCAGTTGATGCAAATTTATGATGAAAATATCAATAGAAAAACCATTTCCCTTTTAATAACATATGTGACAAACCTTGGCTCTCGAGTCCCAAGATGAAATACACACACAAAACAGCATCCAATGAAGATTGACAAATATGCTATCCAGCGATACTGATCAATCACAGAGAAGTAAGAACCTTTCCAAAAGGAATTTTCAGAAAAAGAGAACAGTATGTTAATTGGCATACCTGATTCTCAACATCGATAACAGTCACTGATGAGCTGATCTTAAATACCACAAAAGCAACTGCATATAGGCTAAGGTTGGCGACCTTCAAAATTATTAATTTCGATAAATATTAGTAAAGTTTTTTGGCTAGGATTGGGAGGAGAGAAAAGAGAATAACTAGTTACAGCATAAGAACTAACAAAGTACGTGTAAAATCATGAAGAGAACTCTTAACCATGGTAAAAGCATTGCGGCAGCTAGTCAAGACTACTCTGCTCGTAGAATTCAGCGTGATGCAATTCACCATTGACCTACAACATAAGCAGGATATATAATTCACTAACTTTAAATCTGGCCACTGGCGCTCGCACAGATAACAAGGGGAATGGAAGAGTTCGAGCACAGCATTATGAAGAAAATCAAGAAATCATGTCACAAAATCCAAGACACACGATCCCTTAGACAGATAAAACAAAGATTAGGAACTTGATGGTAAGATGAATCAGGTGTACAGGTAGTATTAAAAAGGAAAAATAGTTTAAAATAGTCTATAATGTGCCCTTTTTAGGAGAAAATACAAGTTTACGAAATTATAAATTGATAAAAATGAGTGGTAGATAAGTAAAAGTTATGGGACCTACGAAATGTTTGTTTATCATTAAAGTTTGACCCTGACCTTTTAATTATGAAATTGAAATTTAATCCAGACAAGTACAACATTGTCCAATACAATTTAGGCCCCGTTTGATCCACATTATTTGAAAAAAATACATTCTTAATCAGTAATTTAACATCATTTTAACCACTCACTTTTCAATAAAATAATATTACACACAAATTCAAAAATTTTCCTTATTTTTTAACCACATATTTT